ATTAGGTTGACGAAACACTCAACTCAAATGTAATTAAAGTCAGATCCACTCGTGTCTTAGATGGGGCAGTGATATCATAAAACTGTTGTACGTTTTTAAACACTCTGTAGTTATTTTTTAGCCAGTTGTTCTATATTCACCTTGCAGGTGCAACTATGTGGCTTGTATCCTGGATTATTTGTTTAAGTCATGGATGTTTAAAGTTCATATTTGTCTAATATTAGTTTACTTTTCATTAATGAAGTATGACGCTGCGCTGTCAGTATACTTGTACCTGTTTGTGATTGGTCAAATGTTGCTAACCCCGCCCCTTTCATGTGAACACGCTCTCAGCTGGAGAGAGAAACCCTGGCTTGATTTACCGGGTTGATAACCAGCTTCGTAGGAACCCTTAGCGAGATCTCGTTTGTTAGGGTTAGTTTAGATAACTCAAACATATCCAGGGTATGTTTAACTGTCTTCGTAGAACAGGGCACAGGTGGCTGCATAGCAGCGCTAATGTCAAAGACACAAACATTATACATTATATTTTTATTTTACCAGGATGCAGTGACAAAAATATTTGGGAAGGCTTAGCCTTCCCTAGCCTACAGTACCTGCCGCCCCCGTCCCGGCCCTTAGCCTATCACTTGCAATGTTTTGGAGCACCACACTGGAGAGAGAACCTCCCCAGAGGGAACTTTGGGAGTTCAGCATTTACAGACCATTTACACTAAACACTAAAACACTCTACAGGAAAGGGAAACCCCCCAAAAACATAGGGTCCCTTTAAAATCTGTTCTGTGAGACGGGTACAGGTACAAATATTAGCTTACTGACTGAGCTGCAGCTATTGTATACTGCAGAAGCCTGCAGTGTTGAGTGCAACAAGTAAAGAGGTCTGATTACTGCTGCTCTGATTTCTAACCAGGGCTGATGAGGATTGAAGCCTGTTAGATTCATACCAGACGTGAACTTTAGTGCATCATTTCCACAGTGACCAAGTGACCCAACAGCACTTTGTTCAACACTAGAACACTTATCATCATCATGCATGATACATGCTGTGGACCCTGGCAGTTGTTTTTATTAACTAGCATGACTCACTCCTTCCTCCTCCTCCTCCTCCTCCTCCTCCTCCTCCTCCTGCCAGAGAGGCACCGGAGGCAGCTTCTCCTCTCATTTCTGACTCACGGTAACACGCAGCAGCATATGCTCGCTCAGTGTGATATTGATGCTGCTGTTTAAACTGCAGGAGGAGCGACAGTAAAACCCAACACAGAGGGCCACATGTTCACATGTCAGAGATCAGGGCAACAGTGGGAAGGGGTCACATTGTTGCTAAAAGCTTGGAAGAAGAGAAGGGAAATACGTAATGTTTGTTTGTTTATGGAGAAAGTGGTTCGTTGTAAACTAATTCTCCGAACAGGGATGGAAAAGCAAAGAGTTTCAAACTTTGTGTTGCATCAGAAGCCAGTAATTTAACAACAGAACCATTAAACTGTCTGCAGTAAATACTTTAGTTGTAAGAAAAGGCCAGATGATTGCATTGGCCCGCATGTTGATTTCAGTTGAATTGAACCCAAAAATGCTCAAATGAAAGGCGTACTCCACAACTGTTACTTATGAAGTTCAGGTTACTCTTCAGGGACAGTACTACTCAGCCTGTAGACA